TACATTCTTCGCTGATTTGACATGTATTGGATAAATGGAGAATGTTATTTTAGTCATAAATGAGTCGTAAAGAATATTTTACAGCGTCAGTGAAGGTTTTAAAAAAATCATAAAATACAGAAAACTATGTACATAGTGAAAACTTGCTTGGCAGTAAAAACATTTTTCAAAATCTGAGTTTCCCAGGGAGTTGATTGTTAACATTGCATCATATTAGCTGCAGTATTGCAACGCTATGTCATTTTTATCAGTGAAATGATGTCATTTGACATGTACAGAATGGCATCTAAACAGTGATCACACAGCAGCCATTTCATATTGCACCCAAAAAGCAGGCGGCCATGTGTTTACATGCTGGAAGTACATATTCTAAAACTAGGAGTCTGAACAAGTAGTACTGCTTTTTCAGCCAAGAAATGTACATCTTTTATTTACTTTTCATTTCTAGTATTGTACTGACCCAAGCACATTTGCTTAACACACTTGCTCTGTTATATTCCATGTAAATAAATAATACTGTGAGTTGCCTCAACTGTCTTGCATTTGTTTTCAAGTTGCTAACACCAGCTTTAATTTATACCAGTTATCATAGCACCAAGAATTGTGATGTGTTGTCATGGAAACAGTTATATATTTAATTTGGGGAACAACAGCAAGCACAATATTACTTTTATCTTTTCCTAGCACAGAATACTTGCATATAACACACTGTACAATGTAAGTGATTTAGGACCTAGCAGTTAGTATACATTTGTAGTGTTACAAGTTTTCATTGTTCTAGGTTGAGGCACTGAATAAGATGTTTTGTTAGTAGACGATATAGGTGTCTTCGCGTATGCAACCCTGCTAAATCATGTGCTTTGTCTGTGTAGAACTGCAATACAAAAAAAGAAGAAAATATAATAATCAAAAATATGAATTCAGGCAATTATAAGCATTCATGAATCACAAGCATTCGTGAATCATTGCCATCATCTATAAGCATTCATGAATCACTGCCATCAACTATGAATCATGCAATTATTAGCATTCATGAATCATTGCCATCATCTATGAATCCATGCAATTATAAGCATTCATAAATCAGTACTATGGTTATATTAACATTACCTGTACTTCATAGTCCACTTCAAAATGTGTCAGAGCTTTAATTAAATTAGCAGTGTTTTGAAAATGAACATTATCTACAGAAATAAAAATAAAATAATAGCAATTTATCATACATGCATATCAACTTATGTTGGTCCAGGCATTCCTTGAAATGTTTGATAACATCTTCAAATGTTCATTTTGTGTGTTTTTTGGGATTGAAAGGTCAATGGAAACGAAAGTAAATCTTCCAATATGATATGCCTTGTTAACAAAATCAGTCCAGGCATATTCAGAGAAATGTGTCGGACTGACACAAGAAACCCAAAACCCTGTTTCAGACCTTGTCCAACGGTGACTAAATAGTAAGCTACAATGTAAAATTATGACACAGATTTTGGTGTAATGTTAAAATGACTTAATAGTTAAAACTCGTAACACTTACCATCAGCTAACCCATGTACGACTAAAAAACTTTTATCTATAAAATTCTTAGCAAGTGAAGAAACATTAGAAGCCTAAAAATAAAAAGTTATGAATGTCACAGTTAGTTTTCAAAAGTGAGACATTAAATTGCATTACAACATCAATGCCATTGCTATGCCTTGGCTCGTAACCACAATAATTATTACATTAAAATAGTGATCATGTGTCTTTTTAACGGTGCAAATTGCTAAATAAATGTTTCTCAGATATTGTGGGTTATGCTAATAGTATAACTAACAAGCCATGCATGGCACAGTCCCTGTTGTTTATATTTAAGATAGTTTTGTTTATAGTAATATAGTTGGAATATAAACATATTAGAGATATGGATCCAGAAGCTGATGATCATCAATTTATCTCATATCTGATCATCAAATGAGTACTTGTTCATATTGAGATATTGCTCGGGAACAGCAATAATTAAAACAAAATGGCCACCAGTTATTTATATCTATATTAGTATAACTATTACATGATGTATGATGAATATATACAATTTGAACATAATCAGTCAAAGCATGTCAGAATCAGATCATAAAACAAATTGATGTGCATATGTATAATATTCTGTAAAGTTTGAATGTAATCGGTTCAGGCATGTATAAGATATAGGTGCACGCATGCTCGGGTGCACAAACATACACAAAAGCAGGGATATCTATAAGTCCTTGTTTTTGGACCGCGTCCGAACTGCAACTAAAATAGACCAATTGGACATTTTTTGCCAAAATAAAATGGCATTTCACAAAGCATTATTGAGAC